GAGTTTACCCTCTGTTCCAAAGAGTTACCAACTTTGGGGCTACATTATTTCCTCAGAATGGATGGAACTTCATGCATTTGCCCTGAGTGGGACCAGGGTGTAAAGTTCATCCCAGGCAGATTCCCTACTCATGGATAGTTACATATTCCAAAGAAAGTCTTCTTCCTCCTCACTCTTGAGGCAACCAGAAATTCATAGAATCATAGGATAATTTAGACTGGAAGGAAGCTCTAGGTCTGTCTCCCAAACTCCTGCTCAATCCATAGGCAACTTTGTCCAGTCAAGGATTCATCTAAACTCCTGCTCAATCCATAGGCAACTTAAAAGACAGATCGCATTGCTCAAGGTTTTGTCCAGTCAAGGATTCATCCCATAGGACATAGCCAGCAAGTCAGACAAGTGTGTAGCATCTTCTCCAGTCCAGTCAAGTGAAGATGGAACAATCTTGATCACTCTCACTGTACAAAATGCTTCGCAGTAGATACTCAAACCTTCCTTGCTGCAACTCACGGCCTCTAACTCTTGTCCTTTACCTGTGTGTCTCCAGAAGGAGTCTACCCATTAGAGAGCTAGGGACAGCAACCAGACTCCCAACTCAGCCTGTTTTACCTCAGGCTAAGCAAATCCAGCCCTTGAGCCTACATGTGCTCCTCATCACCTCTCATCACCTTGGTCATCCTCTCATGGAATTTATCCAGTTTGTTAACATATTTCTCAAGCTAAGTGGCCCCAGGCTGGATTCACTACTCCAGACACAGCTTCAGTATTCAAACTTGGTTATGATACAGAAAGTACTGGTTAGGATAAAATGATCTTTTGTGACAATTAGGATACTTCCTTGAAAAATTCAACATTCTCTTCAACATTCTCATAACATTCTCGACTGCAACCTGTTTTACTGACATTAAAGCTAAGGTTTAGATGAAATAAGTACTGCAATTAATGAAAAATGCAGTACAAAGGAGGCCACACATTTAGAATTTGGCTTGAATATGCCAGATGTCTCTAGCTGATTGCAGAGCTTTTTAAAAAGATTATTTCATTTAATAACTACTAAAACAATAGTTCCAATATTTGTAATATGTACAATTTGGGGCAATTATTATAAAAGCCTAGGAGACAACGGGCTACATTCATTACCCTGGCTGAGGAGAAGAGAAACCCTTATTCACCAAAGCAGTTAAAGCAGACATAATATTGGGAATTGAATCACTCTGCTGCCTACAAAGCCTGGAGCCCACAGCAGCCAGTGCCATTCACCCAGCGCCGTCACTTCCACTTTCTCCTCGTGTTGTTCCTCTTCATGGTGTGAAGCATTTATTGAGTCAGGCAGAAAGGTGTCCCCATATAGAGACATCCTGAAAGACACTTCCTCCCCATCTGACTGATAGACTGCTTTAATAAAAGATAGACAACCTGTCACTGCAACAGTGCCAAGAGACACAATACAAGCAATCCACAGCTGGATGTCATCCACCGTGAGGATGGCGATTCTTCCGTACAAGCTGAGATGCATCTGCTCAACTTGCCCAAAGCTGAGAGAATCAGACAGCACATTCTGGAGCAGAAGTTCTTTCAATGATTTTGACGATCTTTGAGAAGTGCCCAAAAAGGATATATTCCATTTTGAGTTGAATGAATCATCTTCCTCAAATTAAAATGATTATTTTTCCATTCCAATTTGATTTCATTTAGAAAAAAAGAGACAAACTCAAAGTATTTCTAGAAAAAAAAAAAGACAAACTCAAAGTATTTCTAATATATCAACGACTTGAATTCTTATTTTTATGGTTCAGTCATCAAGATAAAAAAATGAAGTTACAAAGGACAAAAAGTACTGATGCTGGGAAGAGACTGCATATGTGTAGCACCTCTTTTAATCCACGGCTGCTATCACAGCTCCCAGGGAGACCAACTGGAGTCTGAGTTGCTCTTCCCCTTCGAGGCTTTCTGAAACTCCACCATCAGGAGATGGAGATGACTCCACTGACCTACCATGCTGCCAGACAGCTGGCTCAAGAAGCCTTTTCCCTTCTCGCAGTGTGCAAGATTTGCTCTGAATCACAACCTTCAGAATAAGTCATCAACCACCATGAAAACTGCTGTTTGAATTTTCTGAACAAAAAAGAAAAGCAAAACCAAAAAAATAAAAAAAAATTAAAAAGAAAGAACCTTACCATGTAGATCCCGAGAGGCCAGCAATGTAAGTTGCACAGTCTAATATTCCTGACTCGTAAAGCGCTTTCATTACTCCAGCAAACCCTACCATGGCACGAAAGCCACCGCCTGAACCCAGTATTGCTATCACTGGTACCTGCATAGATAAAAAGAACAAATCATCATATCAACCTTCATAAAGATTTAAAGAAGTAAATAAGAGTTTATGCACCAAATGCTGTCCAGAGGCACTGGCCTTATTCAATTCAGAAAGT